GGTCTGCCCACCGTTTTGGGGAAAGATGAGGAAGATCAGTTTCAAACTATCCTTAGGAAAACTCCTTCCATTACCCATAATCCCTCCGAAGAGGAGTTGGTTCGATGGCATTATCACACCAACGTTTCGTCACTTTAATCAGTGGTTCCATTATGACTAATAAAGCAGTTTTTAGTTTTTAGCTAGATCCACCTCATAAGCCAGATCAACAATTATTACACAATTTTCAGTTTCAAACACTTAATAATCATCCCTTCTTTTGCATCAACTGCGGTGTCGGCAGCAAGCCCAAAAGTGGACATATTTCCATTAGTCCGTAATAAACAGTGCCTACTGCATGCCAATCCAAGGATTACAAGGTTATTAAGATAGTGAAAAGCGACTGACAAAACCGGGGCAAATTTAGATATGAATGATACTTGCTTGAGAAGAACCTAGTCTTGGTGAAGGCAAGCACCACTCCAAGTTTTTTATAGGCTCTGTTAGTCGTGCCTAAGTGAAAAGAGAAAGCCCTAACACAGTGGTAAAATCTTTTCAAGTTAGACTAAGATTGGCTTAAATCCCGCGCATTGCAGCCAAACTTTTCAATTAGACGCTCCATCCTTTGAAGCTTTTGGCGATGTATTCCAACATAACCACCCCCATTGTGCTGAAGGACTGGTAGTAAATTGTTCTCACCCTGGAAACCAACACTAAGCAAATGTTTTGTGGTAAAAATGACTTGAAAATATCTCTTTAGTAGACGAGACTTAAAGGAAATCCTGGAAGATTTCGCAGCATAAATTAGCTGTTGTGTTACTGTATATTTCCAAATGCTGGGTGGAATATTTCTTCTTGCTGCAATCCGTCTGGTTCACAGCTATAAATCGTTTTCCAGCCTATTTGTTAGGTCTGGTCTCTAAATGTTTTGTATTCCATTGCAATGGTTTTTGGTTCGGAGTTAACTTTTTCAAATGTGCATATTTATATGGAAATTATTCTTAACTGTATATGATGTACTTAGTTTAAATCTTCTTTTTCGGAAATGATTTACAATCACATTTACTAATTGTGACTTTTTGGGCCTTTTCAGAAGTCGGAAGAAGTCATAGGAGTATGGCGGAGGGCACATTACTGATGTATAGAAGACAAGGGCAATACAGGCAAGCAAAACTGCAATGGAGGTGCCTTAAGTGTCCGCGTAGCGAAAATGAACAGTTGAACGACCCAAGCAGGAGAGGATACCAGCGGCAAAAATTATGCGGCCCCAAATTACCGGACAACTTATATTTTTCAACTCTGACATGCCTGGGTTTCCAACTGCTGTAATTTCAGTGACTTTTGAGAAGTTATATCAAACTCTGCTAACTCGTCGAAATACCAACTGGCAGTACGGAGAATAATCTCGTGTTTAATAAATTACAAGCAAAGCTTTAAGATTATGGAGTCCTCTTAACAGATCGTAACCTGTGTCTAGGGCACCAGTAAAGTTTGCAAAATGTGCCGAGTTGTGCGATTTAACGAATATTTTATGCTTTCTGAAGTAAATCTTACGATAAACTGCTAATATCAACTAAAAGATTGAGCATCAACTTTAAAAGTGCTAGATATCTAATCTTAACTCTTGGGAATTGAGCGGTGATGTTTGCTTCACGAATCAGCTACGACCCCTGACTATCATGACCTGATAACAGTATGCCGCTGAAATGCGCGGCACTTCGCTGACTCTTTTGAAGAACCGATTATTCTTTGTCATGGAGTTCATTAACGTTAAAAGGCGATCTGGTGTACTGGATTCAACTTGTTGGCAAGTTTAAGGAGCCCATCACCATGTGAATCACGTTATTTGCAGACTGTTGTTTTCCAAGCTACTCTTTATGCATTTAAAAAGGGTTTTTTGGTAAACCTTTCCATCCATATAAAGTAGCATACCTTCCATTGCATGAGGGTCTTCTGCTGTGGAACAAGTCCTCCCTTGCCATCCCAAATGGCCTCTTGTTAGATTATATTGTGCACAGGGTAGGTGTCATTAATTCTGAAGCAATCAGGTCAAAACCAAACACCGTAATGACACATTTTATGCCCAGACACAACTAAATCCTGTAACATCGCCTTTACTTGCTGTCTAATTAGACGCTCTCCTCCACAGGGTAAAGTGCAAATTTTTCAGCAATTCAGACTAAAAGAAGGGTTGAAGAGCCTAGTGATGGGACTTGGTCAAACTAATTGACAGCAATGCAGTTGTGGTAGTGTATGGCTAGAAAGCCTAGCCCAAAACAAAGTGCTCTAATAAAAGCTTAAAAAGCAGTGTAGTTTTATGCAGCAGATGTCTTCCTCCATTCCCACGCCATCGTGTACGGCTTGGCAATAACATCCTTCAACGATTCAACGCAATTTAGCATAGGGCTAGTAGAAGTAGTCTTAAAATTATTTTGAAGGACTGCTTAAGCAGCAAATATTTAGGCATCATAACGAGCTGTAAACAACTGAACGAGGGGTACTTTTAATGACAATCTAGCTGTCGAAATGCCACTGATAGTTGAAGAGTTAAAACAGGGTAAATTAACTTGAATGAGGGATTCAAATGAATACAATAAAAAATGGAGGAACTGCTGAGTGGGCTGCTAGTAGGATTTTGGATCTTGGAGTTATTGGGCAGCAACAGAATAACTTCGGCGGAATTATCATTCCCTTTGCAGGCAAAGCTTTACCTTGTCGTTTCCTCAAAGAGTGGGAAGACTTCATACTGGTTGTGATAGTTAAAAATTGAGTTTGTCATAAGCACTGATGAATTTGTAATTTGCTCCAGAGAGAATATCAAAAACTGGAACAAATTTTAATGCAGCGTTGTGATGGTAGCTCTGAATATGATTTCTTTGGCTTGTAGAGGCCCAAACCTGGACAGCATACTTCTCTACTTTGAAGGGCATGCAAAATTGGGCGGTTTCGACTGTTCTAAGGGGGAGCTGTTAGGATGAATAAAAAGCAAACCCTCTGTGGAACCCTCAATTTGATGGCCCCTGAGCGAGTTAAGACTGGCGATTATTTAGAACCATCTAGCCCAAATTAATTTGAGGTTTGGATAATCATTTGCATTGTGCAAAACCTTGCTGAAAAAAGGGCCATCAAAGTGTTTCCTAATAATCTGTTATAGATTTACAAAAATACAAAGAACAATTCCTCCTTTTACATTTGCATCTCATGAGCAAAGCCCTTTGCACCCTGAGGGTAATTCAACAACAATCGTACAGAGCATGCCAAAACTAGTGGTTATTCGTCGTTCCCATTTATGAGATGCTAGTTGGTCAGGTACTACTCCTAGGGACCCCTTCATTGACTCACGCAGTCAGCAAACAAAGCGCAAACATGCTTGAAATCTCCAACTAGTAGAGAAGCGAGATTTTTAGAATATTGGACACCGCGTAACACGAAGTGGTCTGGATAGCATGGATTGGTTAGCGTGGAAGCATTACTATACTGGTCAGCTGAAAATGTTTCATGAGAACGCACTTGAAGTCCTCTATTTATAAACTTCCGGTGTTTACGATCATGTCAACAGTAAATCAGGAAAAGGTCTACCCCCTGTCGTACTGGCTCTTAAAGGTTTGGTAGCATGTGAATACACTGCATTTAATTAAGAAGCCCCAGAAAATTAATTAAAACATCGGCCAAGGAGAGAAGTCAAGACTTTAACCTGTTTGCTAGTAACAGCTGGAAACAAGTCGTGAAGTCTGCAAATCGGTAAAGCAGTACAGTACTCCATCAGAAATGCCTTAACCGGAGGAGGTGATGGTCTAATGCCATTTTTTTAAAACTCATATAAATGTCATTAACATGGCTGCCTCATTTTGTCTGTCTATTTTTACGGGAC